GAAGTCAGTTCAGGATTACGAATGAAATCAGTCGCATGCCTACAGTCACATTATGAACTGGTAGAAGTTGTAATTCATGGACCATTTGGTTACTGCCTCATTGGCTCGCTTAGTAGCCTGTAGTTTCCAGGCTCGAACCCCGGTGGGTGAGTACTGATGAGGAGTCTCAAACTAGGACGAAACAGCTGTTCAGTACTTTATGGTCTCCCAATGACTCTCTCTAACTGATGTCAACTCGTAGTCACAGTTGTAACTTATACGTATCACAATAAATATCAACCCGACAAGCGCTTAATAAGCGAATCTTAATGTAATAACAGTTTTCAAAATGCAAACTCAACTGGACTTTATCTCAAATAGAGAAAACAGCTATTAAACACCTATCGTAGAACTCCTTAGAATATATTTTTTCTTACAAATGACTTCGGCATTGATGTGTCTTCCGTCTAACCATTAAACATATTCATACACATATTACTGAAAATATGAATTAAGTAGTATATTAGTAAATACCTATATGAAAAATAAGTCAAAACTTTGCAAATACAATTCTCCTAAAGGTAGGAGAATGTCAATTTTCATTTGATCCAACTTGAAGACAATCAGACAACAGGGAAAGGTTGATGTGAATAAGATTTTTAAACAATTCAACGGTATTATGCTATTATAATTACTGTTATATGGCTGGAGGCAATCAGTAGGTAGACTTGAACCTAGGTTTCGTGCTTCGTGGCAGTCGTCAGTCAGTAAAGTGTATCTGCAATCCTGAAGGAACTTATTCCCCTCCTGAGATTCCCACCTAGGTAGCACAGTGCTGCAGTCAGAGACGATACTATTGAGACATTTAGCGTGGTGATTGACCTCCTGTAGGACTTTAATGGATACTTTGACTGGATACTAGTTAGTAAGTTGTAGCATCATGAGTCCGGTACTTTGTGTGTTGATGTAGACTGAATTCTGTCAGTCAAGTTCACATTGTAGGTGCTCATCCTACACACAAATCCAAACCGAATGCAACCAATCATTTTGTTTTGGTGGAAGACTTGAACACTAACCGTCCACATGTAGACGAAAGTGAAAGGGTGAATGAGAACGTTTGGCATCTATAAACACAAGACCGACGGACATGCCGTCTACCTAGGATAGATGAGAAACCCTGATTCTAAAGCAGTGGTTTACAGATGCACTCCAGAATCCGAAAGGATCAAATGACGTGTGAACTTGTTTTTTTACTGGTAGCTATCTGAACATAGCTCCTAACTCTGCTCTACTACATTATGCATCAGACTACAAATCAAAGACTCCAGAGGGAGGTGGTCCCTTAGGAAAACTCCTTGCTTCATTCTGCGCATCCGAGCAGTATTCTAGCCCTCGCACAAACTATGAGAGTATTTGTGTGGCACATATCTTGGTGCCTAGAAAGTATAGAGGTCGTGTTTCAACAACAATAATAATATAACTGATTAAAAATGACCATTAAAATTTCCATAAGAATGGTTACTGAACAAAGAATACTCTTTTCGATAACTTTATCATCAGGTTCTACAGTTATATATACATATAATAGTGAATGAATTATTGTTATGAACAACATTAATGTTGTTTAAATAACAGCGAATCAATAATATTATCAATGGATTAAAGTTCAGTAGCATCAACATAACAATAAACTGAATGTCAGAAAAATTAGGAAAGATAATAATACATATTCATGAATTCATAGTCTCTACTGAAGGCTGGCCAGGGTAGTAGTAGTAGTGGCTGGACTTGCTTCTTTTTCACACAAAGCACTGGTTGTTTCATGCGAATTGCGGTAGCCTCTGAGGTTTGGAGCATGCGGTAACTCGATGTTTTTGGCAATTTATTTGGTACCCGGTAGATGATAGAGAGGGATTTTTCAATGCTGTCTTTGTGGCCAGTTTGGACCAGGTGGTTCAATATCGAACTGTTGATGTTTTTTACTACACCTTTACTTAGCCATAGTGGGAGATGTTCCCGAGCACGAAAAATCAAGATCCTAGAGAAACGGCAAATATAACTCGCTTCAGAAACGCAGTTGAATTGGTAGATACAATTTGAAGTGGCTAGTCTAGGTACTTCATCTTTCAGTCGAGGTAGCACCATCGGTCGTGTAGGGAATAATACGTGTAGTCCGCCAGCATTAAAAGTTCTTTGAACTGATTTTCTTAATTTCTTCGTAATTATCTCACATGGTATATCGCCCTTGAATTGTAGTCGTACATAAAGTGGCTTCTTGTTTACAGATAGTTAGTAGTCCTTTTCCGCTTTCTCTGTCATGTGTTTCTTGATAAATTTGTCGGGATAGCTATTTTAGATCAAATTATCATATATAACGCTTAATTTATCCTCAATTAATTCTTCTGAGAGCATAGCTCTAACTCTGTGGCTGAGAGTCTTTACTAAATTTCTTTTGTACTGGAGTGGAACGAAGCTGTGAAAATGTGTATATTGTCCTATTCATGTACTTTTCCTATGCACATTTTTTTAATGCTACCATCTGGTCTTCTTATAAGGAGGACATCTAGGAAGGCAATTCTGTTTTAGGATTCCTCTTCACACGTGGATTTCATAGCAGAATGTACCTTACTGAATTCAGTTATTTTAATGTTCCTATCCGAGTCATTATCGGAAAGAATAAAAGTTTCATCCATATGCTGGCAATAAAATGAGAACTTTCTGATAAGGTTGTTCAAAGGTTCATTTTTTAGTTTCCTTAGAAAGAAATCTGCCGAAATGGGACCCAATGGTAAGCCCATCGCCACCCCATCCACTTGTCTGTAAAGTGTGCCATAAAATTTGAAATTTACATTCATAGTGCGCCTTAATAACAATTCCTTTAGGACTTCTGTTGGGAAGCCAATATTTATCGACTGGTTATACACTTGTTCGCATTATTATTATAATAATTATTATTATTATTATTGATTCGATGTTATTTAAACATCATTAGTGTGGCTAATAACACTAATTCATTCACTATTATGTATATATTATTGTAGAACCTGATGATGAAGTTATCGAATAGAGCATTCTTTGTTCAGTAACCATTCCTTTGAAAATAATAATAATAATATACACAAAAACAATTACTGATTAACGCTGATCAATACCGACGCCACAATATTTATGAATTTTGAGATTTCTTTCCACTTGGAAGATATAAGTCAAGTGGCAGAATCTTGTGCGAAAATGTATTCATAAAATTTCATCAAGCTACCAGCAAGAAATCATTCTCCAAAACCACAAAAAAGAATTCATCCTACCAAATATATAAGGAATATCTGTGAAACAGTCGCTAGAATACCGAAAGCATTTGAAACAGATTTCACATACACACACACCAACAGAATCCCTTCATTGAATACTATGGAGACCAAAAAACACCTCACAGCGAAAGAAAACAAGATCAATACCACGATATGAATTACAACAAGCACCATATTGGTCAAAGTGGGCATCCTCTTCAACTCTGAGTCCAAGAACATAAACTTGTAGTGAAAAGACACAAGATACATTCTTCTCATATCGATGCATCCAGGCAGACAACTATGGACACCAATTTGACCAGAACATGTAGAAACTTTAAACAATGAAAACACCGGAAAAAGTGCCCAGGAAATTTCTAGAAGCCTGGTGCTCAGACGATGAATCAGCGATCAATAGGCCACACTATTATAGATCAAGCTTATCAACTAATAAAGAATAAACCACATGACAGGAAAAGTCAATAAAAACGATCAATACGAAGATAAATTAACAACCAATCACAACAAAGTTAGCCAAGAGGTACAATTATATCATTCATTCATGGAGAATTCAAATAAGATCATTTCATACTAAAACCTGAGCTGAAGATGTTGTCTAGATGGGGGGGGGGGGGACAACGAAAGCTTCGCAATTAAATCACCCAGATCAGAGAACCCAAATACATTAAAATATCCACGCTTTCCAGATCCAAAGCCAAATGGTTATTTATCTCTCTTTCAGAGAGAATATAGCTAATTAACCAACCAATGGCAGATATGAAGAACAGAATAAACAATATTGACGATTGACAAACAGTCGGGTATCCAATAGCTTTACTTTTTCGTGTTATCAACCTATCATAACATATGTTTCAAGGAAATATTGACTAATTGGTCTTATATTGTATCATCTTACGAAAATGTCACTGAATGTCAAGCAAAACGACTGAGTTGATAACCACGATTCTTTTAAGCAGTGATTATTATTATTATTATTATACTGAAATGCAAACTTGGTACTTTATGGGCACCAAGACATGCGCTACACAAAACCTCATAATTTGTGCGAGGACTGAGATACTGACCGGACGGCTAGACCGAAGCAGGCGCTTCTTTCCACACACACACACCGCCAGCCTTTGACCTAAAGACTGCCACATAAGGCGGTTTCTGGTAACCAAAATAGGTTCCTACGCCATTCCATCCTTTCGGGTTCTGGAACCCATTCACGCCATAGTTTTAGAATAATCAGGGTTTTCTAGCTCCTCCAGGTAGACCAGCATGTCCACCACTATGGGGGTTGTAAGCGCCAGACGTTCCTCCTTTCACTTTTGTGAGGAACACCCTTCATGTCGAATGAAGGCAGTGAATAGAACTTACCTAGTCGAGGCTATGAACTCACACGAGGCCACATGACAGCATTTCAAGAGGGAGATCGAAGTTCACTCCTCCCCACTCCCCTTGTTAGCCGTACCAAGTGCTTTATTGGGGCATAGTGTTTTTAAACAGTGATAAAACGAGTTTGTTTATAACTCAGTTGCCTAAAACATATTTTTCATATACTCGGCTATGAGAGACACTCATTGTTTGGAAGTTGATAATTCTACCCAGTTGCCAGCAAGGCTGAAGTAGGCGAAGCGGGACTCGAACTCTCAACGAACTGGCTTAAAGTTAAGTGGTTGAGGCAGTAAACCATGTCTTAACGACTGGAAAAGGAAGTTGAATAAACAGAAGTATCAATTTTAAATATTTATTATTATTATCATACATTAGAATGGCATTTTATCGAGTTGTAATCATTCTTAATTGTTTCTTTCGCATACGTTTGATTTTCGCTGGATTACTTACCTATAATTAATTGATTATGGTAAATTTATGAGAAAAAGACAACAAAAACTAACCGGAACAACAATTTCTGACCGACGTTCATTTTCCAACTTCCTCTTCCGTTTTTCTTCTTCTTTTAAACGTTTAGCCCTCTTTAACTCATCTTTTGCTTTTTTCCGTTCAAGAGATGCATTACGAATTTGTTTTACTTGCTCTTCAATTTTTCTACGAATATGGAATGCTGTATGCAAACCTTTATCTTTTTTCATTGAACTATGCCTATGTAAACAGAAAAGACAAATGATAATAAAGATACTACTGCAGTATGTACATTCATTGACTCACTCAGATGACTTATATGAAATTCATTGTTTTGAAACATTGTTTTACCATCAGATAAGGTGCATTTTAAAATAATAGAGAAGATTTGTAGCTCAGGTGGATGATTTGCAATTGGTAGTGTTCTCTGAGCTGGTTGGTTCAGTTGCGGAGCTTTCGTCGTCCTTCTGGACAACATACCCCTTCAGCACAATTTTTAGCATAAAGTGAACTGATTTAAATTTTCCATGATTGATTGAATTGTGTCTCCTTGCTACCATCTTAGTGACTGGTAGTCGATATACATCTGTACTGATCACTCTTTATTGACTTGGAATTTGAACCTGCTCGTGACGTGATTTACTTCCTATTAGTTGGTAAAGTTGGTCTATATTAACTCACTTGAGTATCAGGCTTCTAGGAATTCTCTGGCAGTATTTCCGATGTTTCCTCTGTTTAAAATTTCGACATTATCCCAATCAAATTGGTGTCCATAATTACCTACATGCATTGATATGAAAGAATATATATCGTGTCTTTTTACAGCTAATTTGTGTTCTTGGATTCTGATTCGAAGGGGAGGCTGACTTTGACCGATATAATAATATATCATGGAAAATTTAAATCAGTTCACTTTATGCTAAAAATTGCGCTGAAGATGTTGTCCAGAAGGACGACCAAAGCTCCACAACTAAACCAGCCAGCTCAGAGAACACTACCAATTGTAAATATGTTGCATTTATTAGCCCTCAGGATAGAAGGCTATAATGTTAAAAGGAACATTATGAGGAGCAATTTAACTGACCAACAGCCATGCTTAACTTTCCAAGAGCCTAACATCTATCTGAATGAGATGTCGACATCAATGCTCCAACTATAGCTGAGGTTACAAAAAGTGTCTTTAATCTGAGACGAAGCAAAGCAGCAGGACCCTGTGGAATAAACTTAGAGGTGACAAACTATTGTCTAAGATACTAGATAGTGTCTTGGAATCAGGAATAGTTCCGCTAGGCTCGTGTAAATCATTGATTATCCAAGTTTATAAGAAGGGAGATTAGCTTGACTAGTATACTATTCAAAATTCTTGATTCAATAATAATGTACAGGCTAAGTGGTGCTTGAGAGAAACAAACCCAGAAAAACCAGGTAGCATTTAAGGGAGACAATGGGTGTATTGACCATTGTTTCACCCTTTGACAGATTCTACGACATAGTCATATGTGTTTCCGTCATATCTCATGTGTTAAGCAGTACAATAAAATAAGCAATTTTGAAGTTATGTGTAGAGCGTTGAAGTAAGGAGGTAAAAGATGAGTTGGTAAGCTACGTCGACTAGGACACGTGCGCAACATGCCGAGCTACCGCCTTCCTCGACGAACAATGTTAACTGGCATAGGGATGGGTTGGAAAAGAGTTAGGGGCGGTCAGACCAAAACGTGGTATCAACCCACGAAGTCTTTGACAGTTGGTTTGGGCAATGAATGGAAATGCAGACTGACTGGACGGGGTCGTCGGAATGCCAAGAACCAGAAGCTAGAGACTATGGCTGATATGGCTCAAATTCCTTCTCAATGGCGAAGATACATTTACTCTTGGTGCTCGCCCATATCCATTAGGCCATTATGTTTTTCCAAGTTAGTATTCTTTCTCCCTCATATTCCTGCTCGTAGTTATTTTAAATCTCTCTCCTCGTTTCTATACTTTTGTGTGCTACATGAAACGTGGCAACTTGAAGTGGTGCTCTTATATGCAGAGTTTCATGTCAAAAATCGGTCAATTAGCATGAGATATGAAGAGTTATTCAGTTGCTTTTGTTCGAAACTGACGATCAACTTTAATCGTCCTTTATCATTATGTTGAACTAAATAATAATAATGTGGTCAGGTGGTCAAAAAAGATAAGCAGCAACCGGAAACTCTCACAATGAACCACTCATAAACCTACTATCCCAGAGATATGCAGACCGAAATAGAAGTGAATTAGATATACGCGGTGGAGACATTTAGGTGACATCGGGCATCAAAGAGGCCATCGAATCAAACCCAAATGGGAAGCGATGAGCGTCCGAGAGTTAAACGGCGACCATGTGAGAAGGGAACGAAAGCTCAAAGGTAGTTGCGGAGCCAGGTGGAAGTGATGGCAGAGGACAGAGTGCGACGGAAATGCACAGCTGAGGCCGCATGTTCCACTCAGAGCTCAGGAAATGAATAACAATATGATAATCAGTAAAATTAAGCGACTACTGCGGTTACTATTGTGTGCCCAGCTTGTGATTATTATCACCGATTAAATGAAAACAAACTTGGCATAATGCGTACTGAAATATGCGCCACACAAAAACAACAAAATACAACCTATGAGAAAGAAGTACAATAACAAGCATAATTTTCAAAAACATTTAAGGAGCGTTCATCGCTTTCAGAAAGAGTAAAATATTTAAGCGTTTAGGACTTCAATAAATAACGACTACATTAAGAAAGAAAATGCCTAAATACATAACAAAGTGTGAAAACAATATTGATCCTGTAGTAAAAAGCCAGTTATAAGCTACCGGATTTTCTGCGGTTTTCTCCTAAATAAGCACACTAGAAAGACTAATCTCACAAGATTCTGAACATGACAAGTGTAAGTAGATCGCATGTAAGCTAACCAAGTCTTAGAGAATGAAAATCTTGTTCCCACTACTACAAAGTTTATATGCGCGAATAAGCCAAATACATATCTTATTTTAACATCTTGTATGTGACAACCGCATATCTAGGCTAACAAGGCATCTACAGCTCTAGCTCCTATGGTCCTACAAAGTGAGCTGAGGCGGAGAAACTCTTGGAACCTAAGGACGCTCCAAACTCATAATAAGAGTACGTTTATCATGTTCCCACCCTTTTGACAGGTTCCCTAACACAATAATACATAGTAATTCAGTGCTCTTGCATTTTCCAGCGTGAAGAGACATTTGACTCCGTCAATCGAAATATGGTGACGCAAAGTCTAGCTGTGAAACTGCTAAGTATGCTGTACTAATGAAGTCAACATGTTGTTATCACATAGCTTTATGAGAGTTAGCGGAGGGACACTTTCTGAAGTGACAACAACCAGTGGTGCCCATTATTGTCATTTTCATCATTATAAATGTCATCTTTATTTCAATATATTTTTCTTAAATATATTGTCGCTAAGTCGTTATTTCACTGTTATCATTTCAGGAAACGTCTGTAGATCTATTGGGCGAAAGAGAAGCAAATGTATTTTGTGACTGTTTACAATCGCTTCTCTTTCGACCAATAGATCTACAGAAGTTTCCTGAAATGATAATAGTGAAATAACAACTTAGCGATAACATTTAGGAAAAACTACATGTGCACAACGATTGACATTATCACATGGTGTTACTGATAGAAATAATAATATATATTGAAATAAAGATGGCACTTATAATACCATAGGATATGGCTTTAATGATGAAAATGGCGGTCACATAGTAGCCTCAAAGACTAACTATCCCCCTTACCTAGCACTCTATGCTCATCTCATCACTACAAATTATGTCGCTCGACAGATTGTAGACAACTTATTGTGTACAGTTATAATAAAAAGGTAACCGTAGTTGTGCAATCTTAAACCTTTAAAGGTTAGTCATTCGAAGCTGACGTATTTTGGTTGGCTTATGAATGGTAATATTTTTCCGAGGTAAGTAACAAGCATTCATTTTCTTATGACCATTGCAAAACAAGGAAAAAATCAGGTTAACTTGTTAACCAGGAGTATGTGCATCTAAATACGCTCCATTAATGAGTGTACCACATTATCATAGCAGGAGCATCGACCAGTTTTTAAGCAGCTAATGTAAATTTACCGCAAACACTTACTTCGCAGTCCGAACATCCTTCCACGTGCGGCCCGACTTCGGTTTCCCTCTAACCACCGTAGAGGTCATTTTTGAGTGTGGGACAGCCTTCAAGGTCACACTACTTACATTGATTCAGATTCGGAGTTATTGAGTTATTCATTAAGGATAGAAAATGTGGATCCCGTTTCAATCCTTTTCTAGTGAGTTTCTTTGTTTTTCTAAGCCTCTTTTGAATGGACCAGTTGAGGGCACCGATATCACTTCTTCTGAGAGTCGGTTGCTGGAGTTTATGACTATGTGTAGAACTAGGACTCATAGTGATATGATTCCTCCTTGACCTCTGAACCCTGAGGTGTTCTTACACTGAGCACTTTTTAGAATTTGTGAACTTCACCTAAGACAAAGACTGACTGTTCGGATGCAATTTTCTAGTCTTAACCTCACCAAAGAACACGACTCTGGTGATCCTAGCAAACGCTACGCTTATTTTCCATGAAGATGCCACTGCGCGACAATGTGCTGCAGTTTTCGGGTCATGATGTATTATGTCACCAAGATGCATGGTTGCGCACCCCACTACGTCAATTGGTAGCATCCATTCTTTGGACCAATCTAACAATTTATTGTGATCTTGTGGCGTGAGCATGTCATTTTCGCCCTTTAGCTCTCTCTCTTCATCTGTGTGGAGGATCGAAAGCGATTCGGTGAGCTCAGGTAACTAGCTGATATACAAGATTTCATAAGCAGTCTTGAGTGAGGAGCCTAATCAGAGGTTTTGCGGAAGCCTGTGAAAATGTTGTCGACGATTTTGCCATTGTCCCTCGACATGAATTAGCTTTCTGTCGCTGTAGTAAGGTTTACCACGCATGACAGGTTCCCCAGGAAGATATTACATGCTCTGGATAACAAGTTGTTCTTCAGATATACAGATGACTCTTTTCAGCATCTTGAATAAGGTTCACAGGAGATTGATAAGCCTGTAGTTGGAAGAATAGTGTCTGGATCTTCTTTGTGAATTGGATTACTATAGTATCTTTCCAGTCACAGGTTGACACTCCATTCATGAGAAGTAGCTCGAATACCCTGTTAAATGGGCTGGCTATTCGAGCCGCTAGCTCCTCGAGGAGCCTTAAGTGAGGGTCACTGGGTCTCATTGATTTCCCCGCGTCTAGTTTCTTTGTAGAATGGATACTATGTTCTGGTCAGTGTTGATGAAATCCATCGTATATTCTTCCGGCTATGTCGGAATAAACGACATGGAGGGCGACGACTGTTGTATGACGACCCGAGGGTAGTGGTCTACCATCGCTTTCGCTCTTCCCTGGTTCTCTTCGGATGTATTGTTAAGTCGCACTTCCAGTTAGATGCATTTCGAACATGAGTCTTAATTGAAGAACCCCTCTAATGGAATTGTTTCTTTCGACGGTATGTAAATTTCTGTCCTTAGAAGTCTCAGACATGATAAACAGGTTCTGGCATTTGTGCTTACTCTTGAATAGTATATGAATCTGTCATTTTTTCCCTGAGGAAAAATGTTTTCGACCATTCGGGACAGACCAAGAGATAATGGGTTAGGCCACCAGAAAGTAAATTCGCTTGAATCGGCTCAAGACAAATTCCATGTGCGATTCTGAGTGTAATTGCAAGTCCCGTAATTCGGCTTTCCGAAAATCTCTTCAGGCCATAGTCCTGGCCCTTGATACCATTGCAGCTATGAACTTCGAAGTGAGTTCAGTGTGATCAATTCTTCTTAGTGGTGGAAGATATTGTTTGAGGTTCACATCGATATTTTGCAAACATTTAGTTGAAAAAGGGTGACGAGCTAGCTACAGAAGAGATTATCACGAACTCGCCTTTAACACCGACACCGAATAAAGCGGTTGCCTGATTTCCCAGGCCTCTGCTGAAGTGGCAGTACACAAACAGGTGAGATGGAAAGTATATATAAAGAACAAATAAATGAAGAATGTAAACTTAGGCCATTGACGTAGGCGTGAGAAAATAAAATTCGTTTCTTATCTGGTCATCCATTTGTGAGACAACTGATTAGAATATTTCCAGACATTAGCATCCTCCTCATGGGAGAAAAGTAGGTCACAGTTTGAGGAGGATTGGTATGCCACAATGCCCAGGCTTCGTGATGTGTTGTACTGTGGTAAATTAATATTAGGTTTTAACAATTTTGGCCAAAGCGTCTAACTGACGATGGCACTGAAGTCACCGACCACGGGATTCTGATATTTGGATATCCTCCAACCTAGTTTTTTTATTAGAGGCTCGTCCTCATTTCCCTCAGGACTGCAATACGTTGCAGTGTCATATCTTTTGAATTTGAGTCTGCAGTGAAGAAGTTCGCATGATCCACTCTCGTTCGCGAGGGCTTCAACGCTGCACAAGGCTGCACACTTCCTGAGGTAGCTGTCTACAGAAATCTCCCTGCGGTGTGCCCTATGCACCATGAAGTTCCACAAGTTCAATTCATTGTCACCGACATCGGATATGAACCATGATTCTATTATAGCAACGACAAAAGGCTTTTCAGATTTTGCCATGCAAACCAGCTCAACATATTTATTAAACAAATTTCAGTCATTTTGCAGCAAAATATTAATATATTTCGCCGACTACGGCTTTATTGGTGTACAGAAATACCCTCGTCTCTCTCGATTGTATGGATGAATTAAATTCGAGTTCTGTTATTGAGTCAGTCACTAAGAGATTACCCGTTCGTTCACAAAGAAAGTTCATAAAATTTGGCTCCCGTTTAGAGGAGGATGGTTTACAGCCAGGGTTCGATGATATTTTAGGACTGCCGAAAGGCAGTGTCAACAAAGCAATGAGCAAATTCGCCAGTATATTGCGTCGCGCTCCTGGAACAGCGAAGTCAGGGAACAAAACGAAGTCATTTGTAACGAATGACTCTCAGAGCAGTGGATGTTTAGAAGAGTGTATGATGTCTAATAACGCGTACAAACGCAGTGAGTGTGATAGCATTCGCGGGGTGTCCTCGACAGGTAGGTCAAAAGTTGCTAGAAAAAACGGTTCTGTTTTGTCTTCGAAAATATGGAACACAAAAACGAACTGTAGAGCAGTGAGCGAGGTTAGTGGTAAGCTGCATGGAAAGTCAGCGTCGTCAAGTTTCGACTCAGATTCTTGTGATGATGATAGTGGTGTGGCGAAGGAACCTGTAGTTGCAGCTGGTAAGCCATTGTTGAATAGTATGTTACAGACGACGCCACAGTCTGTGCAGAATAAGGGGGTTGCAGCTTCAGAGTCCAGTTCTGATTCCACAAGGTGACGAGGTATTACTGGTCAGAGTAAAGATATAAAACCTTTAAGGATTTATGAAGAAAGACCTGAGTCATCTCTTATTGTTATTAAGGAGGTTGAAAATGATGAAGTCGATCATACAGTCGGCTGCAAAGCGAATATTTGTGGTGGTTATCACGATGGTGAACATTCGTCTTCAGCTGATCACGATGAAACGAACAGAATACCTACTATTACTGAGTTGAACAGAAGTTCTGTACAAGTATAAAACTTGGGCACAGTGATAGAGTATAACTCCATTATTGATAATATGTTATTTTGATACATTAAAGTGTTGTACAGAAATATTAACTGATGACGATTTGAGCACAAATTATTGCTCATAATCATATCAAGTTGATATGATATATGATTACGAGCAACAGTTTGTGCTCGAAACGTCATCGGTTAATGTTACTGTACAACACTGTATTTACGTATATGTCGCATAAATTGAGTTATAACCTGGTTTCACCCCATCCATTTGCTATTTTGTATTTTGTCGTACCGTACAAGTCGTGTTATATCATTGTGAATACTTCCGAAGTGGTTTCCAGTCTTCTGAAATTTAGGAAAGGCATTGAGCGAGGTTCGATACGCCGGGGAGGTGTGAGCCGAATGTAGAGTGGTGCAGATGGCCAGGCATCCAGCCCACTCATGTAGACAATGATTGCTTGTGGTATTGTCGATTGAGAGCTTGGAAGTGTTTCGACCACGGACTGAGTTTCCACACGCCGCAGAGAGAGAGGAAACGAACTGGTTTGAAGCGGGTATGCCTGTTGTGTGTTGGCGTTTCATCTTGCTTTCCATTCTAGCCTGGTCCCAGTTGGCGCAGGTTCTCCACTGGCTTTGAAGCCATCCTCCATCGATCGTAATAAAAAGGGATGATACCTGTTTTGCCAGAAAGTTTCAATGCTGGTGTGCACTGAATAGTTTGCTTGTTCAAACTGGCCCCAATTCATTATCGCTTGAAAAATAAACAGTCTCTGTTGCCCAACCGTTTTATGTTGTTCTGCATCGGTTACAGTGTATTGCTTTCTGTGTACTAGGCGTAGTCTTCTGAAATCAGCGATAGATCCAGCATTTCTGCTATTTTTCGATTGATGCTCCCTTTTGTATTGATCCGCTTGTCTTACATTCTCGTGTTTTGACGTTCCTGATCTTCAATTTTTTCGAATATCTTAGCATTTTATCCAACGGTATTTTTGTTTCAGTATGACCTCGATGATGCTGCAGTGTCCGTATTTCGGCTGATTCCATATTAGTTGTGAATTTTAATGCCAGTTGATTTTGTTGAGAATTGCTTATCTAAGGTTGGTCTGAGTTAACATAGTTCCTGTTCAGACCTTATCTAGGGGTCTGAGGCCATTGGTTCCCCCATTTTGCTGGGATGAGTGGCCAGTCACAGAGATCAACTTTGTTTGGAGTGCCCCTCTTGCTCTGGGAGGTGGCGTATCGGAGTGACTCAAGGTCATTATAGCTTTTGTGGTGATTGTGTCTTGCTTTTAGTGAGGGAGTGCACTGCGCCAATCTCTTGAGCCTAGTTCACCTTGTGATTGTTGTTGTGCCTGACTACTATCCTCTCCTGACATTGGTGAGGCTAGGTTTATGTGTTTAGTGACGACCCCTGCTGTGGGTTTCCGGCCCCTACCAAGCCTCTTCCTTTGGACAGCATTAGTTGAATCGGGCCTACATCCTCCTAGTACGGATTCGTTATGGAAACCTATGGTATTATCGCGTTCAAAAGCAACAACGTCGGTGTTGGGTCAATGGCTGATATAACACATTAATACCGAATTTTCCATCAAAATAATTGCCAAAATCACTGACCGACAGCTCCTAATATTGTA